TGGCTCGCCTCTTCGCTCCTCGCTCGATCCCATGGGTCGCGCACTTCAATGGCATGCGCCTTGCCCGCGTTTTCCTGGCCAGGGTTTCAGAGGCTTTGGAGCGCATGACTCTCCCGGCTGATCCGAAAATTGATGCCTCGATGTCTAGGCCAGCGAAGTCCCACGGGGCTTTTCCGCGGCTTCAGCAGGAAGCCCTGGAGGCTCGGCCCGCGAGGGCCCGACGAGGGGGCGCTGGCGGAGCCGACTCTCTTCCTTCAGCGGAAGCGTCTGAAGACTTTCATGAGGGCTGAGCGGAGCCAGGCTTGCCTTTGGGCTCGCTCTGGCAACGCGCATTCCTTCCAGGGCCTCGCGGTTCCGTCGGGCGCGACCCCTTTTTTCGCCCTCCTTCGCGGCGTCTGCCACGAGAAACCACTGGGCCCTCGTCCATGCGCCACGGAGAGCTCCGGGGAAGCATCCAGATGCGCGCGCGAAGAAACGCATCGAAGTCTTCGGCCGGTCGGATGCGAGGCCGCCAACGGAAGCTCTAATTCGGGCCGCCATTGCGAGAGCCTCGCGGGCATTGCCCGGGCCCGACGGCGCCCCCCTTATGCCGCGTGGCAAGGCGCGGCGCTGGCGGCGCCTGTTCTTTTCAGTCTGTTTGAAGAGATGCTGGCAGGTCGCCCGCCGCGGGCGAGCCCCGTGCCCCTCCTCCTCGCTTTTGCGCCCGAGGCGTATCCTGCTGCTGACTCGACTTGCGCTGTTAGGAGCGCGTCGACGACGTGCCTGCTGGCTCTTGAAAACGCGGATGTTGATGCTGGCAGCGACTTGCAATGGGGAGTCGTCAAACCTTCGCGAGGCAAGGAAGTTCACGCGGGCCAAAGGGGGTTTGTAGATGGTCGCAACTGTCTATGCAATTGGACGCCCCTCAGTAACCGCGGCCGCCATTTCCAGCATGCTTCCCCCCCTCGGTCCTCCTCGTGGACTTTCGGAATGTTTCCGTCCCCATCGAGCGTGAGTTTTTGTGGCGAGTGCTGGAGATGGTAGGTTCGCCATCAGGTTTTAGGCGCTTCGCTGGCGCCGTTTGCGCCCGTGCTGCTGATGGGGGGCCGCTCAAGGGATGTCTCGCGAATTTGGGCGCGCTTGAACCCGGGGCAATGCAGGGCGACCCAGCTCGCGGCAGCACGCGGCCCCCTGCGGTAAACGCATGAATTCGTGACGTGCGCTCGGGGCTGGAGAAGCACATTGGGTCGGGGGTGGGGGCGCGCGCGGATGATGTGGGGGCGGCGGTGAGGGGGTTCGGGGCTTTTGCGCGCCTGTCAGGCGCCTGCTGCGCCCAACTTTGCAGCGCGTCTCTCGCTCGAGATGCCCGCGTGCAGGCTAATCGCAGTTGCGGGGCCCACTAGGAGAGTCTCAGTGGTTTTGCGCAGTCCACGCCGAGCAGGTTGCCCCCGAGATGGGCCGAGCATCCCATCGCGGATGCGGCAGAATGCGAAAGGGGCGTGGATCGGCCCAGCAGCGAAGCGAGATCTCGCGCGGGCTCGGGCGCTTCGCGGGTGGGCGGGGGTGATTAACAACGCCGCTGCCACGAAGGCAGCCCCTTTTGATTGCCATGTGTAATTCCAGAGCTGTCTCGAAATTCAGCCATTCAGCTCAGTTGTGCAGCGTGCCCACGCCCATTCTTCGCTGGGGTCGTGGGCTCTTCGCAAGACCCTTCACCTTCCCGCCTGTTCTTCTCCCGTCTCCCAGCTTTTCGCGTTGCGCCAGTGGCCCCATCTTCGATCCGAATCAATGCGCATCCAGACCGTCTCTGCTTTGCTCCGCGCCGCGCGCCAAACCGGATCACATTGCAGACCCTCGTGGGCCATGCTATGCAACCTCGCCGGAGAGCACCCACCAATCGTTTTCTGGCACAAGCGCGGGCGGTCGCCGACGCATTGGTTGGAATCCTCGTTTGTTCAGGAACTGGTCATTGTTGCCGCAGGTTTCCAAGAGCGCCCGCACCTCAGAGGTCCTGTCCAGATCGCGCTTGAGGTTGTACAGCTCTTGACGAGGCGTTTGTTGCTGAATCGTTGGCCCCCGCGCAGCGGGCGATCTTGCGCGCCCTCGAAGCGTCATTGTACCAGGATGACCTCAGGGCGACGATTGTCAAAAGGGCGGCGAAGTGGACGCTTAGACCTCCCACCCCACAAGGACTAGCGGAATGCTATTAAACTTCTCTTCGGGAATGTCTGGAACCCCCCGTTGTTCGGCAAGCTTCTGCTCTGAAAACGGTGCTTGGGGCGTGGGCAACGGGAAGGAGGTTGATTCAGAAAGCCGTAGCGTGCAAATTCGGATATTCGGGTGAGTGTAGCATCCAGGAGCACTATGTGTCTTGCCCGCTGCTGTGGGCGGCCGCCCACGATGCCTGGGTCCCTCCAGTCCCACTGCAGTATTTCCTCAGTCGCCGTGCAGGCATCGGTCGCTCGATGTCGGCGGAGGATCGATTTCTCGCTGTGCAGAGTTTGGTTGGTAGCCTTTCATCCACACTATTCCATTCGAGGACTGAGGAGGGCTGATCTTGCAGCAAGTGGGCAGGCAGCGCGCCACAGCTGACAGAACGCAGCTTCAACAACAGCAAAGTGATCGTGAGCAAACGATTGCGAACCTTGTCCGAGCTACGTGCGAGGAGGAAGAGGAGGAGGAAAAGGAGGAAAAGGAGGGGGAGAGGGGGGGACAAGGATGATGATGATGAGGAGAAGGCGCAGGCGCAGGATGAGGAGGTGTGGGGGGGGGGTCCAGCTTGCGGCCCCCTTGGGGGCTCTCTGGAGGCCCCGGGGCCGTCCTGGGGAACGCCCTGGGGTCTAGGGCCCGTGCCCCTCGGTATCCCCTCCTCGTCGTCGCCAGAGCCCGCCCGTCCGCCGGGTGGGCCGCCCGGCGGGCTCGGCTCCCACGGGGGTGGCGGGCGGCGGGCTCGCCCGGCCGACGCGGGCCCGAGCGCGAGTCCGCGCGGCGGCCCAGGTCTGACGACGAGCGTGTTCGGACGGGGCGAGCGGCGGCTCCTGGCCGCGCGGGGCGCTGCAGAGAGGGCATCGCCCCGGGGGGGGGTCGCGAGTCGGGCCTCTCCTCTTCGGCGGGAAGCCTGCGGAAGCCGGTGGCGGTAGAGTTCAGTCGGGCCTGTCCCTCTACAGGGGGAATATTCGAAAACAGTCAAAAAGTAGTCTGGGGACTATGTTTGGGCACCTTTTCTGCATTTTTGGTGTATTTTTTATTTTTCGTCCAAAATTACCCTGTAGGGGAACAGGCCCGACCTAACGGTAGGTAGAACGAGAGTGTTTCCGCTGGTGGAAGCCGGCGAAAGCACCAAGATCCCCCCTTCCCCCCCATCGAGGTGACGACTTTTTGTTCGGGGGCCAGGCTTTCCGGAGTCGGAGACGTGCGTTATCGGGAAATCGTGCCTTCGGTTTCGTTTACGCGGGTCACATGAGACAGGCGGAAGTTACTGTTGCCGCCAAGCACTTGCATCAGGACGATCGGATTGACAGGGGACTTGTTCGAGTCAAAGGTGAAAACGTGAAGCAGCCACGGACGGAGCATGTGGTTTGGCAAGTCGAATGAGCATCATCATGGATCAAACACATGCAGAGATCGAGCGGGGACGGTCCCTCGCCACGCCCTGGTGCCTCCTGCAGCCATCCTTGGCAGACGACGTCCTGACGGTATGCGACAGTGTCGAGCAAACTTGGCACCAGAACGGAACACCCATCGATCGGAACTTCCAAGACAGATTGCGGCCGCCGCAGCTAGCGCAGCGCCACCACGCTTAGCGCTCCCCATCGCGCAGCGGGGAAGTCCCAGTAGGGCTTCGACGTTGGGCTGTTCACAATGCCTGCCGTCGAGATAGTCCAGGCTTGCTTCAACATGTCCTCAGTGGTCCGTGCGGTGTCAACACCCCGGCGACGCCCCTGGCGGCACCACAGGGGCGATTCGCACACGAGGGGCGAACCCCCCCTCCCGACTATTCAGGGAAAGTGTTGGGGCGTGGCGAGAACCACCAGGGGGGCTGTCTGTCTATGCGCAGCCCTAAGCCTTACCATGAACTCCCATCGTTCATAGGTCTCAAGACGGTCCAGAGAGCAGACCGTCAGATGATCATCGATGACGCCGCGCTGCTAGCCTATACTCCGGTCCCTGCTGCGCGTCCCAAGTTTCCTCACAGCAGTGGGACGGGAGGCTGGCCTTGATGGCGAATTTGCACGGTGCCGAAGCCGTGCAGAGGGGGCCCATCGATCGGGGCCCCCAATCGGTCAAGTCAGCAGACCGTCGCCGTCAAGTAATCAGAGTGGGATCATGGGAACGGGTTTGTCTTGAGTACCTTGCCCTCCGAGCGCCACGAGCATAATCACGGCTGCCAGAAGTTTTGAAAATTTCAAAGTTTGGGCGCTTCTGGGCCCTGGGTCAGCAAATGTTTGCCAGCGTGGACCCCGAAATGCCAGTTCTAGGCATGACGTGAGAGCGAGAGGCAGCGGTGGCATGGAACGTGCCGTCTGGAGCGACGTGGCGGGCGCGGGCTCGAACATGCGGCTACCAGAAGCCGTTCCGATTCCTGCGGGGCGACGGTGCCGACACCGCTGTCTGTGCGAGCGAGGAGGATTAAAAGGGAGTAGGAGGGAGGATCAATGAGGAGGAGGGGGAGGAGGAGAAGCAGGAGGAGGCGGAGGAGAAGCAGGAGGAGGAGGAGGAGGAGGAGGAGGATAAGCAGGAGGAGGAGGGGGAGGAGGAGGAGAGAGAAGATGAAAGAGAGGAGAAAGGAGCAGAAAGGAGGAGGCGGAGGAGGAGGAGGAGGGGGAGGGGAGGGGGGCGGGAGGAGAGGAGGACAGGAGGACGGCTGCGCCTCGGGAGCGGAATGGGAGAGCGGAGGGGTCAAGAAGAGGCAGGCGGAGCGCCGAGGGGGGACGGCGGCACACGAGGGGGGGGTGGGGAAGACTGAGGAGGAGGTGTGAGAGGGAGTCGGGTCGTGCGTCTGCTGTGCGCCGCCTCCCGAGGCCCCACGCCCCTCGAGAGGCTCGGCGCGGGGTCAGCACTGGCCGACCTCCCTCCGCGCGGGGCCTGGCCTGGCCTCGGAGGACCAAGGGGGGCGTCGTCGGTCGTCGGTCGTCGCCGTAATTATCCGTTGTCGAGCGTTGGTTGCCGTGATCCTCGCCTGTCGATGTGGTCCTCCTCCTCCTCCTCCTCCTCCTCCTCCTCTCCCCCTCCTCCTCCTCCTCCTCCTCCTCCTGCTCCTCCTCCTCCTCCTCCTCCTCCTCCTCCTGTGATCCTCGTCGCCGCCGGCACTCGATACCAGAGAACCGACCATGAAGGAATTCCATCGAGCATATTTTCATCAGACTTCCGCCCTGCTGCCCGCACTGGCCATGGAGGGAACAAGCGACAGCAGAATCTGGCAGTCGGCATTTTCGTATGTTTCTCGCAGCGACGGTTATGAAGACTGCGTGCTACACCCCCCATCGCCAATTCACATCATGAGGGGGTCAGCCAGGAATTGCGGGGATGTGACGTGGTGGTGCGGACAGGTAATTATTCACATATTGATTTGACCAGAACCGACACATACGACGCATCTGGAACACCATTGGGGGTTGCAGCTAGGAGGAACAGGCATCTGGATTTCTATGGAATGTTGTCTTATGTGCCTCGTCACAAGACACACATGGACCCAACGCCGTCAGACAAATCTACCTCCCTCCAGGCATAATGCAACGGCGACTTGCGGGGGTCAGGTTGGCCTCGAACGCTTTCGATGTGACGTTATTCGCGACGTACCTCCCCCCGACCCACCATCACATCGATGGACAGGTATCCCAAAATATGTTGGAGTGGGTGGAAGGATGCTGAGATGGGGTGGCTTGCAATTCTACAATATTACTGGGAGGGAAGTTTCACACCCGATGGGGGGCTTCACAGAGGAGATGCAGGAGGAGCCGAGAGACGTATACCCTAACCAACCATGGGGCCCTTGCCGAATGGCATATGGAATGACCGTGGCACAGCGTTTTGGAAGTTTTGTGCGGTGAGTGATCTAGCAGCTGCGACGGCACATTGCAATTTGTGGGCCAACATACAGGCCTCGGAAGAAATTAGCGAACATGCATGCCGCGTTCATGTGTCAATGCTCCCCCATGATCACTGTTGGCGGATGGTTGAACGAGCTGCACTTCGACCGCAGTCTTCCCCGCGCGTGCCAACTTTGAGTTTGGAGGAAGCGGGGGGGGCGGTCCACGAATTGTTTGCTTCTACCGTACTGTAGCACGAAGGGTGCATCTACGAACGTCGACCACGTGGCGATGCCGACCGCAGCGCTGCACGTTGTGAAGGGCTGCGTTGCATTCGGAGGGGCAGCGGAACACTTGCAAGCATGAACATCTAGAGTAGAGGCCACCGAGACAACACACCCGTAAGAGTCGTCAGCTTGGCGATCGGCTCAAAGCACGGCATTGTCAAATGCGGGGTGTGTAGGCGCGCGGGCGCACCGCGATGTCTTATCCGAGTCTGCATAGGACGCCCCTATGTTGGACCCCCCAGCAGCCCTCGAAATCGGGGACGGTTTCGCACATCGCAGCCCCCCAGGGATGGCGAGGTCGAATCTGAATCTGCGTAGGACGTCACTCCGCTGGACCCCCCCACCAGCCCTCGAACGTGGCGACACTTCCGCAGATCGCAACCCTTCTTGGATGGCGAGGTCGAACCTGAATTTGCGTAGGGCGTCACTCCGCTGGCCCCCTCAGCAGCCCTCGAACGTGGCGACACTTTCGCAGATCGAAGCCCCCGGGGGATGGCCAGATGGACGTCATTACGCAGCCCTCGAAAGCGGCGACAATTTTGCAGATCGCGGCCCCCTGGGGATGGCGAGGTCAAGTCTTCATCGGCGCAGGACGTCACTGCGCTCGCCCCCCCCAGCAGCCCTCGAAAGCGGCGACAGTTTTGCCCGTCGCGGCCCCCAAAGGACGGCGAGATCTGGTCTGGATCCGCGCGAGACTTCGAACGTTGCGACAGCTTCGCAGATCGCAGCCCCCGAGGGATGGCGAGGTCTGCTCTGAATCTGCCCCGTGCGGGCCCGTCGCGCCACGCCGCGCCCGGCCCAGGCCGCAATGCCCGGGACTGCCCTCCGCTGGGGCGAGGGTTTCCCCCCCCTGTCTCTCACTATGGCGCAGCTTAGCTAGACAGCCTTCGCTGGACAAGTGGCCCACCCGCCACCTTTTCGGGCGTCGGAGCTATCCCCCTCGAACGCCCGACATCTCACTCTCACCGGCCTTCGTGGGCCACTGCTGACTCACGTCCGTAGTGGCCTCGGCCACCCTGGAAGGTCCTGTCCGAAGATGGCAGTCCTCCTTTCTCTCAACCCTGAGCAGCGGTTAGCTGCGACCCTGGGTCAGCTCGTATCCCCACGGGTGCGTCGGCCCGTTGCAACAGCGCTGTCAGTCAGCACGTACCTCTGCGGGATGAAGCCGACCCACCCTGGACCGCGTCTACAATGGGCGGAAAGATCGACGGATCGCGCTGACGGTAGCTTAGCTAGATAGCTAGACAGCCTCGCTGGACAGGTGGCATATCTGCCACCCCCCCCTTCTCGGGCTCGCCGTCGGGGTCATCCCCCACGGGCGCCCGACATCTCACCCTCACTTGCCCTCATGGGCCACAGCTGGCTCATGTCTGTAGAGGCCTCGGCCACCCTGGAAGGTGCTGCCCGAAGATGGCGGCTCTCTTTCTCTCACCCTGAGCAGCGGTTAGCTGCGACCCTGGATCAACTCGGACCCTCAGGCTCACGGGTGCGTCGGCCTGCGACAACAGCGCTGTCCCTCGGCACATGCCTCAGCGGACTGCAGCCGGCCCATCCTGGACCGGGCCACAGGGGACGGTGAGACCGACCGACCGCGCTGACGGCATTTGCTGTGACCCTGGATCTCCGCGGGGCACGACAGATAGGTCAGGCTGGCCGATGCCCCGTCGGGGCCCGCCTATCCGCCCACCTGTCGGGCCCGTGGTCTGTCCCCGGTCTGTCCCCACCGGCCCCCCCCCCCCCTGTGGGTCCTTCGCTGTCAGGGCGGCTCCATGGTCCTGTCCCCCCTGGAGCGCGGGGGTGGCCGTTCTGTGCAGCGCTTCCCTGGACTCCGGGCCTCGCTGGCGATGTTCCTCCCCGCCTGCCTGGCCCTTCCCACGCACTGCATCAGTCGGCGCTTCCTGGACAGCTGATGGAGGGGTCGGCCCTCGTCTGGACTTCCCCGTCGTGCTCGGGATGGTTGTCCTCGAGCCCCGTGCCGCGGCCGAGTGGTTCAGCCTTCGCAGCCGCGGCCGCTCCCCTGGGCCCCTCCCGCCGCAGGCAGGTTTGCGACGTTCCTCGGCAGTTCAGCCCACTTTGTGCGCACACGCCGCTGGAGCAGCCCTGGGCTTGGCGCCCCGCTGGCGACTCGCCTTGTGTCCCACCTCGCCTGGAAGCCCTTGGCATGTTGGCCACGCAGGTACCGGCGCACCCGCCTCGCACCATCCCGTGGGCTCTGCCTCGCGGCACACCTTATTCACATAATTTCCTGGCATTTTGCTAGGCTGCAAGTGCCTGAGCTTCCCTGGACGCCCTCAGCTTGCCAGCTTCGGCGCAGCCCCGCCGCTGCTGAGTGGGCCGGCCGACCCGTGTGGCGTCTAGTAGCTAATTAGGCCGCTGCCGTGTCCCGGGGCGCTGTTGACTCCGCCTGCGCTTCCGCTGGCGGACGCGACCGAAAAAGTATCCCCCCCAGCCCAACCATAATTGATTGCCAGTTTTCTTGAGGCCTCTTGGAGGCTATCTTGAGCCATGCTCGGCTAGAGGCTGTCGGAGGCTATCTTGAGCCATGCTCGGCTATCTTGGGCCATCGTGAGGCTGCCTTGAGGTCTCTTGGAGGGCTGTCGGAGGCTATCTTGAGCCATGGTTCGCTATCTTAGGCAATGTTTAAGCCCATCTTGGGCTATCTAGGGTTCTCTTGGAGGCATCTTGGGCCCAAAAGGGCGGGGTGGAGGGTCTTTGGGAGAGGCTGGGAGGCCTCTTGGGGCCATCTTGGGCCCCAGGGCTCAAAATGAAGAGGTCCCTCAATTAGGATCCTCCCCTCGGAGGCTCTCAAACGGCGTCTTGGGGCCGTCTTGGAGCGCTCTTGGGCGCCTTTTGGGCGATCTTGGGGCCGTCTTCGGCCTTCTTGGCCCCTTCTTGGGGCCTTTTTGGGCCATCATGGTGCCATCTTGAGGCTTCCAAAACCCATCGGAAGCGAAAAGGCGAGAATGCTAAACACATTGATTTTCCTAAGGCTTTTGAAAGGTTTTGGCATCTTGGAGATCGCCGTGGAGGGCTCGAAGGGCACTTGGATCCGTCTTGGGGCTGTCTTGGGGCCTCTTGGGGGTATGTCGGAGGCTATCTTGACCCATCTTGAAGTAACATCTGCCATCTTGGAGGCCATCTTGCGACTTTGAACGCCTCTTGGAGCAATCTTGGGCCATCTTGGACGCTCTAACGCCTCGCGGCGCGCTCCGTCTAGGCCCAGGGGAGGGGTAGGGGGAGGGGTTTCAGTGGAAGAGAGAAGAAATCAATTCGTTATACCACCTAAGCTCAGAGGGCTGGTGGGATTTGAGGAATTCCCCAGCGAACGCGCGATTCCTGAATAGCAAGAGCGCGGCGCCTGAGTAAATCGCGAGGAAGTCTCAGGCGGGAGCGCGATTCTTGAGTCAAGCGCGAGGAGGTCTCAAGCAGGAGCGGGGGGCCCGAGTCAATTTCGAGGACGTATCAAGCAGAATCAGTTGCTGTTGTAAACCGGGGGCCAGGTGCACAGTTTGAGGAGGACGATTTTCCTCGATAAAAAACAGGGTGTGAGCGCCGGGAGGAGCATTTCAGTAGAAGAAACAACATATGCCTTGGAGGGGGGAGATCAACAATACATATTCCTCAGTAGTGAGGGTTCAACAACAACAACAACAACAACAGCAGCAGCAGCAGCAGCAACCACAACCACAACCACAACCACAACCACAACCACAACCACAACCACAACCACAACCACAACCACCACAACCACAACCACAACCACAACCACAACCACAACCACAACAACAACAACAACAACATCAACAACAACAACAACAACAACAACAACAGCAACGCAACAAGCAGAATCTTCACCACGGATTCTCACTTCAGCCACGCACCCAGGGACAATGAATGACCGTTCGGCCCCCTCACTCTGACATGACCCTTTCAAGCCACAAAGCGCGCTTGTAACCCACTAGCGGGTGGACAAAACCCCCACCCTGACACGTCGATTAGTGATCATCCGGTTCTCGAGAGGGCGCCGCGGCCGTCCTTCCCACGCCTGCGCAAGGCAGGTTTGGGCCCGAGGGCGTTTTCACTAAACCACGTCCGCTATGCCGGGTCAGGCACATCCCACCTCCGCACCCACTACACGCCGGTCGTTGAAAGTAGGTATTTTTGGATTCCCAGATCCCGATCTACTTCAAGTGCCTTCCCACTTCAAGAATCGGCATGATTTTGCTGTGTTTTGTGGTTCTCTGGGAGGGCCTGGACCCAATCCACTTTATCCGCCTTCCTACTTCATGTTTCTACCCACTTCTTCCGACCGACGTGTACAAGAATCACCCCATCATCTCAGCAACCCCCGCGGCCACCCCCGGCGGGGCCGGGCGAGAGGGCCCCCCGGAGGCCCAGAGAGTGGCCGAGGCCCCCCCCCCCCGTCGCATGGACTTCGCGGCGCGAGGGGGGTCCAGGCCCCCAGCCTCCTCCTCCTCCCCTCCTCCTCCTCCTCCTCCTCCTCCTCCTCTTCCTCCTCCTCCTCCGCGCGGACCTTCCTCCTCCTCCTCCCTCCTCCTCCTCCTCCTCCTCCTCCTCCTCCTCCTCCTCCTCCTCTTCCTCCTTCCGCTGGCAGCCTGGCCTCCTCCGCCCCCGCCCGGCCCCCCAGAGATCCGCCGCTCCAGCGAAAGTTGGCAGCGCCGGGCTTTTGGCCCTGTTCCGCCTCTGGGGGCCCTCGCCGGGCCTCGGGAGCGTCCAAGAACGGCTCAGGGAGAAACACCGGTGGCCGGGGAAGTGGTCCAGACCTCCGGGGCCCACGCTTATTCGTGATTTCGGAACGGCGGAAAAGCTAAATTGTTGTAGCTGATCCTATTTTGGCATATATCCGAGCTAGGGCAGAGCGTCTCCAAAGTAGGGAAGGTGGTCCAGACCTCCGGGGCCCACACTTATTCGTGACTTCAGAACGGCAGAGAAGCTAAACTGTTCGAACTGGTCCTATACTGGCTGGACGGATGTCTGATCCTTAGAACTGTCGGAGGTTGATCGACCTCCTACCCTGACACGTTTTCGGTTCGCGAAAAACGGCGTCGCGGCCGTCATTGTTGCGGGTCCTGCAGGTCCGTCGGTTTCGGGCCCAGGCCGTTTTCACTAAAGGGAGGTTTGCGAAAGGGAGGTTTGTCCACCGCCGATAACGGTAAACACTGGAGCGGACGGATGCCTGGGCCGCAGGAAGCGGCGGCCGCCCGCGGCGGCCCCGCCGGCGGCAGCGCCCCCCGGGAAGGCCGCGGGCCCATGCAGCGCTGCGGATCGAGCGCGATCCCGGGCCGGCGCCCCGCGGCCGCTCGCCCTGCAGATGCCGAGGAGGGGATTTGTACACTCAGGCAGTGGCGGAGCGTCTTGGCTCGCCTCTAGCCCTACTGAACCATGCTCTAAGAACCTCTTGCGGTTTCCACGACATGTTCTTAGGACATTTCTGGCGGAGTCATGTCTTGGTTCAATACATCGGGTTGATGTTCTAAGAACAGTGTTTTTGTTATTAAAACATCTCTGGGTTCGAAGAACATTTCGTGCGTGGTAGGACTATAGGAATGCCGGGACGGCCTGTCCCTGCTCAATACATGACCACCGCCTGGAGGGTCAGTTTTCGGAGCCTCGGCAGGCGGTGGATATGGACATCTTCGGGCCCCCGGGGGCCGAAGTATATCCATATCCCCCGCCCGCTAGGGCACCAGGACGTCGGTTCCCAGGCAGTGGATATGTGTAAATCCCCACCTTGCACAGATGGGTTGTCCTCGGAGCCGTCAGGGGGTCGTTTTCGAGCCTTGCCAGGTGGACCCCGCGAGCGGTCCAGGGACCGACTTTGAGCGGTTTGGGGTATCGACTAGACGTAAGAGTGACCTTTCGCCGGAGTGACCTTTGGTGCCGGCGAAATGGGGTCCCCCGATCGCCGAACGCGAGGCGGCAGTGGCGTCTTACGCGCTTGTGTTTGGCCCCCTCGCGCCCCCGCGAAAGCCGCGCACCAAAGTTCACTCTTACCCAGGGTCACTCTTGCGCGTAGCCGAGGGTATTCATCCACCCTCCAGGCCGATTCTCCAGGGTGCCATCCAGTTCAGAGACCCCCGGGCCGCCTCGAAGGGCCCGTGTCGAGGAAGCGCAAACATCGATTGAGGGGAGTGGATTTTTGGCTTCGGCTTGGGGTCTGAGGTGGCCTGGCACTGGTTCCGGCCAGCAAGAAAGGTGGTGGGAGATGTTCGAGGTTCTGGGCTCGGGAAGGTCTTACTCCTCCTTCCTCCTCTCCCTTCTCCCTCTTCCCATCCTGGCCTCTGCCCTCCGAATGTCCATGTTGGCATACCCTCACACGCTTCGTGGCCCCACAGGGTGGTCCACCGAGTGTCCCGGTTGCACAGTTCGCTTACGGCGAATCACCGCCGCCTTCTGCTTTCCAGAATCGCCCATGTGGCCGAGCGTTGTGACAAGAGCTCCGCCGAGCTATCGGACCATATGGTCCCCCAACCGCTGTGGAGACCCTTCGGGGAACGCTTGGGACAGGATGGCGGGGAAGATCAGGAGGAGGCGGGGGAGGATGTGGAGGAGGAGGAGGAGGAGGAGGAGGAGGAGGAGGAGGAGGAGGAGGAGGGGGCATCTTTGGAGCCTATGGGAACACTCTTGGGGCATCCTGGGAGCTTCCTGTGAGCCTCTTGGAGGAATCTGGGGTGCCTCCTTGGGCCTCTTCGGGGACATTTGGGGGCTTCTCGGGGGCCTCTTTGGCCGTCTTGGTGGGCTCCTGGTCCGTCTGACGCTGTCGGAAGCCGTCTTGGGGGCCTCTCTGGGCCGACCTGGGGCCTTCTTGCGGTGCTCCAGGGCCGTCTTGGAGACCATCTTCGGCGTTTTGGGGGCCGTTTGGGCCGTCTTGGGGGCCTCTTGAGGCGTTCTGGGGCCATTTTGGAGGCCTCTTGGGCGATTTTGGGGCGATCTTTGGGGGCTATTGGGCCGTCTCGGGCCGTCGGAAGGCCGAATAGAAGCAAATGCTAAAATCCGTCAAACACCTAAGGAAAATGTTGGCCTCTTCGGGCCTTCCTGGAGGCCCTCTTGGAGACCTCTTGGGCCGTCTTGGGCCATCTTAGAGCCACCTTGGGCCGTTTTGGGGGGCTCCTGGCCCGTCTGACGCCTTCGGAAGCCGTTTGGGGGGGCCTCTCTGGGCCGACTTGGGGCCCTCTTGGGGTGCTCCAGGGCCATCTTGGAGGCTTCCTTGGGCGTCTTGGTGGGCTCTCGGGCCGTCTTGGGGGCCCTTTGGGGGGCCGTCTTGGGGGCCTCTTGGGCAGTCCTGAGGCCATCTTAGATGCCTCTTTGGCGCTCTGGGGGCGATCTTGGGGGCCTCTTGGGCTGTCTTGGGCCGTCGGAAGGCCGAAAAGGAGCAAATTCGAAAATCCTTCAAACACCTATGGAAAATCAATGGTTTCGGCCTCTTCGGGACCCCCTGGAGGACTGTCGGAGGCCTCTTGGGCTGTCTTGGAGGCCTCTTCGGCACCTCTTGGGCAGTCCTGGGACGTCTTCGAGGCTTCTTGGGGGGACTTGGAAGCATCTTGGACCCTCTTGGGCTGGCCGTTTTGGAGGTCGTCTTGGCCACCCTGGAGGCATCTTGGAGGCCAGCTTGGGCCATCTTGGCTGTCTTGAAAGCCATCTTCAGCTGGGAGAATTTTTTCCCGGAAATGGTGCCTTTCGGGTGGCCGGCTGCCTTGGCCGGAGCCCCCGTGGGAGTTTCAAAAATTCGCCTGGCGAAGGACCCAAGCATATGCTGCTGTGAATACCGCAATCGTGCTGGGTGGTGGCGGACGCATGCGGGCGGTGCCACTGGGGCCTTCGGTAGAGACCCCTTATGGGGCCACGAAACGTTGTACTGGGTGGGTGAAACGCAGGGAGCAAGGGTGGTGCTGGGTGGTGGCGGACGCATACGGGCGGTGCCACTGGGAACGTCGGTGGAGCCCCCTATGGGGCCTCGAAACGCTGTACTGGGTGGGTGAAACGCAGGGAGCAAGGGTGGTGCTGGGTGGTGGCGGACACATGCTGGCGGCGCCACTGGGACCGTCAGTGGAGCCCCCTATGGGGCCTCGAAACGCTGTACTGGGTGGGTGAAACGCAGGGAGCAAGGGCTGTGCTGGGTTGTGGCGGACGCACGCGGGCTGTGCCTCTGGGACTTTCGGTGGAGCCCCATACGGGGCCACGAAACGCTGTGCTGGGTGGGTGAAACGCAGGGAGCAATGGCTGTACTGTGTGGTGGCGGACGCATGCGGGCGGCGCCACTGGGACCCTCGGTTGAGTTCCCTGTGGGGCCACGAAGCGCTGCACTGGGTGTGTGAAACGCAGGGAGCAAGAGCTGTGCTGGGTGGTGGCGGACGCATGCGGGCGGTGCCACTGGGACCTTCGGTGGAGCACCCTAGGGGGCCACGAAGCGCTGTACTGGGTGGGTGAAACGCAGGGAGCAAGGGCTGTGCTGGGTGGTGGCGGACGCATGCGGGCGGTGCCACTGGGAACTTCGGTGGAGCCCCTACGGGGCCACGAAACGCTGTACTGGGTGGGTGAAACGCAGGGAGCAAGGGCCGTGTTGGGTGGTGGCGGACGCATGCGGGCGGTGCCACTGGGACCTTCGGTGGAGCCCCATATGGGGCCACGCAGTGCTGTACTGGGTGGGCGTAACGCAGGGAGCAAGGGCGGTGCTGGGTGGTGGCGGACGCAGGCGGGCGGTGCCACTGGGACCGTCAGTGGAGCCACCTACGGGGCCACGAAACCATGTACTGGCTGGGCGAAACGCAGGGAGCAAGGGCGGTGCTGGGTGGTGGCGGACGCAGGCGGGCGGTGCCACTGGGACCGTCAGTGGAGCCACCTATGGGGCCACCGAGCGCTGTACTGGGTGGGTGAAACGCAGGGAGGAGGGAAGAGGGGGAGGAGGGAGGGGGAGGAGGAGGAGGAGAAGAGGAAAGGAACGCGGGGACAGTCTCTTCAAAACGAGGACCCAACACCACAGGATGGTTTGGAAAAGCAGAAGCGCCAAACCAATACCGAAAGGATCCAGCACGCCAGGCACCCCTGTGATGAATCAACAGGGGGCGGCGGATGACGGAAAGCGCGCGTAGCGCTGCAATCCGTTAGTTGGGAGAAGTAGCCAGGGGTGGGGTGGGGGGTGGCAAAACCGGGATTGGATTTAATGCCCCAAACTTCTGCCATTTCGACCCAAGAATGCCCAAGCCAGCCCCAAGAGCGCCTAAGAGGCCCCCAAGACGGCCCAAAACAGCCCCAAGAGGGCCCAATATATTTCCAAGGGGGCCCCAAGACGGCCCATGAGCGCTCCAAGAGGGCCCAAGATGGTTTCAAGACGGCCCAAGATGCCCCCAAGACGCCACAAGAGGCGCCCAAAGGGGACCCCCAAGAGGCAGACATCGCCCAATTCCTTCTTAGGAAAACGTGCATGTTTAACGGCCCAGGAGGCCCCCAAGACCGTCCCAAGACAGCCCCAGAGGCCCCCAAGACAGCCCGAGCGGACGCCAAGACGAGCCCCAAGACGGCCCCAGAGAGGCCCCTGAGGGCCCCCAAAGGTTCCCAAGAGAGCCCCAAGGGGGCCACAGGAGGTCCCCAAGGGGACCCAGGAGGGCCCGCAGAGGGCCCCAAGACGGCCCAAGCCCTCCAAGACGACCCAAGAGGGTCTTGGGACGGTCCAACCTGGCCCCAAGACGGCCAAAAAGAGCTCTAAAAGGACCACCAGGCAGTTCCGGAAATGCAAGATTCATTGATTTTCGCAAGGTTGATTGCTAGATTTGTGTATGTCGTACCGAAGCCTGCCTCGGGATCCTGGTTAGAGCGCACCCCCGGAAGGTTTTCAGGGAATAAAATGATGGGCTTGTTTTCCACCGCCACCACCAGAAGTCCTCCTCCTCCTCCTCTTCGTCCTCCTTCTCCTCCTCTTCTTCCTCCTCGTCGTCCTCTTCCTCCTCGTCCTCCACCTCCCTCCCCCCTCCAACGTAAGTTGTGGTGGTGGTGGAAAACAGTCCCATCATGAAGGTCGGAGCTCAAGCGACGGGGGTCAATGTAAACGGGTGTCAGTCAGAGCGCCCGATCTTGCGGGATCCTGCAGGGCCGAGGTTGCACGGACCTGGGTTTGGGTGCAGGATCCTGCAGGGATCCTGCAGGATCCTGCAGGCTCTTGCAGGATTCTGCAAGGCCTGAATGACCCGGGTTTTGATTGTCCCGGGCGAGTAGATCTTCGAAAAGGAATATTTTCTTGTTTTCGGCAACAGCTATCCCGCATAATTAGGACGGATGAGCAATTCTCCAAGGCACCTTTGCATCATTGCCCCTTCTGCCCATCCTCGGCGACTTTCGCTGGCCAGTCTTGTCCGAAAAGCGTCAACATGGCCCCTCAGGGCCCTTGCATCCGTACCGCGCACACTTGTCATGCGGCTTGACTACCATTCCAGGGCTCAAGGATCAACGCCATCTCCTGCTGGTCCGCAGAGGGCATCCTCATGCGGGGCGCTCCACGGAGGGCCTCGCCGTCGAGGGACCTGCAGGTTGGAGCCCCCCGCCTCGGCGGAAGGCCGGTGGCAGCGCAGAGGGGGCGGCTCCGCCGGGCAGGCGGCGGTTCGGCTGTCGGGGGCAGCGATAGGGGGGGTAGGCACAGGGGGGGGGTGCATTGACCCCCGCCCATTGATCGCCGATAGGAGGTGGTGGTGGAAGGGGGGAGGGGGCGCAGGAGGGCGAAGGAGGGAGGATGAGGTGGTGGTGGAGGGACGGGGAGGAGCAGCGGCGAGTGAGCAGGGCGTGCAGGAGTGCAGGGGCCAGCTGGACGAGGGCGAGCCCAAGGCGCTCCTCAGGGGCAACGATAGGGGGGGATAGCCATAGGGGGGGGATGCATCGACCCCCAATCGCCCATTGATCGCCGATAGGGGCTCGATGGCCCCAACCTGCCCAGGAAGGTTCGGATTCACAATCGGGGGCCCATCGCCGATCTACCGGCGATGTATCGCCGATTCCAGGTCGATGCATCCCCCTTTACGCCAGTCCCCGCCTATCGTTGCCCCCCAGGCTGCCAGAAGCCAGCCAGCGCAAAAGGATGGAGAGCCCTCCCCCCCCAAAGTCGGGGGTTGCTTGAAAGGTTCGGCGGCGAGCGAGGGGGGGGGACGTGAGAAGGAGAAGGCCTTCTCAGAAGGCCGCGGGACTTCTCAAAAGCTCTCGCCCCTTCTGAGAAGTTTTCTGCGTCTTCGGGGAAGGCTTAGAAATCCTTTCAGAAGGCTGTGGACTTCCGAGCCTTCTGAGAGGGTCCGCCCCTTTTTGATTTTTCGCCGAGCAAAGGACAGAGAGCCCCCCCCCAAAGTCGGGGGGTGCTAAAGGTACCCCTGGTCCGAGGTGTCCCCAGCTTTTCGCTCAAGTTTGGAGCCCCTGGTGCCCTCTGGGCCTCGTGAGGGGAGCTCTGGAGGCCGTGGGGGCCTCCTTGGAAATCTTGGTGGCACCCTGGGTCAGGGGCGTTTCTAGCAACACCCGAGAAAAGGGCCTCTGTGTCGCCATTTGAGTGACAAAAGCAAACAGGGTCGTCTACGCCGACGTTCCCGCGTGAGCTCCCCGCGTGAGATCGCGCGTCCGAGCCCTCGTTTCCAGCGTAGCGTGCCACGCTGGCGGCCCCCGTAAGCCACCGCGTAAGGACGCTGTCCCACCCGGCGTGAGACTCCTTTCGTTTCGTCGCCCGTCTCTCGAGATGGCACCGTCATCTCCGCAGGAGGCGGTTCCCCCCATGCGGTCGGACCGAGCTATGATATCGAGATCGGCTCGGGGAGGACACCCTGGTGTTCTTCGTGCCTGTGGGATGCTCTTTGTGCATCCTGGGGGAGAGTGCTCATCAACGTTCTTCAGTTTGGCTGGCGGAGGGTCTCGTGCTCCTGGGGGATGTCCTTCTGCCCCGGCTCCGTCCGCACGGGGCGTCTGGCGCCAAAGGGGCTCCTTTTTGGGGCCCCTTTGGGAGCCAGCGGGTGCTCCAAGAGGGGCCATCAAGGGGCGCGTTCGGGGTCTCCCCGTGGTAGATGGGTGCCTCACCACTACTTGCACTGGCCGGCCCCCCCTCTTGAGCCTCATCACACTGGCTCTCTTTGGAGGGGCCCCCTTACCAACTGACAGGAAACCTGAAGAACTCAGCGCGAACCGGGAAACAATGAAACAGGGCGCGTTCAGGGTTTTTGTTCCTTCACTTCCATGTGGGCCACCCCCCAGTGCGGTGGGGGCGTTGGTTAAGGAATGCGCCCAGGAGGCTGCAGACCCTGGAGGGTTCCTCATCTGATGAGGGTGGCGGTGACATCCACGGCCAAGCCTCGATCGGAGTTCCACTGGCCTCCAGACCCTGGATTCCTCATCGAAGGGTCCCTTATCCACTGCCACCACCGCGCGGAGGCGCGTGCCCGCGGGGCGGCGGCTCGCCCGTCCCGTGCGGCCGCAGCGGCGGCCTTGCGTGTGCAGCGCAGCATTGCCAGTGTGAACTTGTTTGGCACGGGCAGTTTGCCCTCGAAGAGAGAAAAGGGGAGGTTTGTCTCAGGAGGGGAAAAAGCACGCAGACACAATGAATCGTCGATCCCCAGGAAGAGATGGGAAAACATGGGAAGTGGCGGGGGAGGGAAAAAGCCAGAACATGTGGGAAAGTAGGGGGGATCCTGCTCTCCGTGTGTAGTGTGTATCTGATGTCTGTGCCCCAAGGCCCCTGCATTGCCCACCGCCGAAGTGCCACCACCTTACCGCCCGCCCGCTGTGCGGCGACGTCTCCGGCCTCGCGGGCCGTCGGCGCTCGAGGCATGCCTTCGGGCGCGGCGCGGCGGGGCGCCCCCCCGCCCGGGGCCTGGCCTGCCTGCCTGCGACGACGCGCTGCGGTGGGCCTCGCGCAAGGGAGCCGTACACCTTAGGCGATGCTCGATGCTTAAGAAAACTTAAGTTTCCGACTAGAGGTTCGATTATTCGTAACGTTTCAATGTAAATCCTAAGATTTGAATCGAAATGTTGTGTTTTTATTCCAGTTCTGAAGCTATGAATTTCTTAACCCATGATTTCTTAAGCATTTCGCAGGGTGTACCGTCAGCCCGCGGACACACTGCTCGTTGCTTATCCTCCGAAAGTTTTTTGGTTGTTTTTTGGGTGGCCAGATCCTTGCATGTCTAACTGCTCCATCATGGGCCTCTGCCTGGCCACCAGGGGGCCAGGAGCAACTAGGAACGAGCACACTTAGAAATGATATCACTTAGAAGTGAGCGACGTGTACGGTGGGGGCGTTGGTTCAGGAATGCGCCCAGGGGGCTTCAGACCCTTGAGAATTCCTTATCTAATAAGGGCGGCGGTGATATCCGTGGCCAATCCACGATTGAAGTTCCACTGGCTTCGAGACCCTGGATTCCTGGTCCATTGGTTCCTTATCCAATGCCTCAACCGTAGTAAGGCTGAGCGACTTTCCGAGGTTGCCCCTGCATCCTTCCACTTCGGCCCATCCTTGGCCGCTTTCGCTGGCCGGGCCCCGCTCGCAAAGTGTCGACACGGCCTTTCGAGGCCCTTGCATGCGTATCGTGCGTCCGTATCATGCGGGGTGACCTGTGTTTCTCGAGTATGAGGTCGATTGGAGACTGGATTTGCCCCAGAATTGGAATCTTCGTGGGGTCTGCGAGATACACATAAACAGTTCCGTCGATCTTCGGAGCCTTCTGGCATTTTTCGCAGATTCGACTGAGCAAGACTTTGGGGTCAAATCAAGTCTGTAGTCGATACCATCTTCGAATTTCCGAGGAGCTGAGTTGAGCAATCCGTTTTCTTCTGTTGATGTCGGTTTGGGGGGCCTGTCATCTGCCGTGGGGTCATCAGAAATTGAGCTGGGGCGAATAGCTATACCCCTGGGGAAGGATTCGAGGCATGATTGGGGCCACGCATTTAAAACAGCGTCTTCGGGTGTTCGGGTGTCCATTTTCTTCTGGACATGCTGACCTTATGCTGGTCTTGCAAGTTGTAGAAGGGGGAAGGAGGAGAAGGAGGAGGAGGAAGGAGGAGGAGGAGGAAGAGGAGGAAGAGGAGAAGGAGGAGGAGGAAGAGAAGGACATCCCTGGGTGTCTCCAAACTGCCCTGGCGGGCTCCAGAGAGAGAGAGGGTGGAATGAAGGTGGCGAGTACGAGCGGAGGGGGAGGGGATGACGAGGAGGTAGTAGGTAGGAGGAGTGAGGGAGAAGGGAGCGGGAGGGGAAGAGGCGGGGATGAGGAGATGAGGAAGTGGGAGGCTGGGAGGCGGGGGGGGGAGAGAGCCGGAGTCAGCCACGCGCAGAGAGGGGTAGAGAGGGGGGAGGGCTTCTTAGAAGCACCCCTGCTTTTTAGAATGCGCGGGCATTCCTGCAGGTGTGAGGCCAGCGCCTTCTAAGAGGCAGCCTCCTTCTATGAAGCCTGCCACCCTCCCCCGCGGCGCAGGGGAGCGGAGGGGGGGAGCAGGAGGAGTGTCCGACAGGTGCGGTATGATCGTGCCGACAGGCGCGGGGAGTGAGGCTTCGGACACTCGATCTCCTCGATCGAATCCTCCTCGATCGAGGACGTGGCCCGACGGGCGCGGTATGATCGTGCCGATTTGGTCGCCCTTTCCGAGGCGTTGGGGCCCCCCAAGTCGGCGATGTCGTGGAGGGCGCCGTCTCCTGGAACAATCGGAACGGGCGAGTCGAGGTCCGCGGGCTCGCACTTGAAAAGGGAGATGGGGGAGAGTCAGCATGACGCACCCCGCGACGGTTACTATTGTTCATTCGGTGTGTTTCCATCGATGTTGGCCCCCGTGAGGCCTGACATTTGGCCCCCGTGCAGGACCATCACAATGGGTCCGGGGCGAAAGCGCACCCCTCAGGCAGGGGGTCGGGGCATCCTGGGACAAGCGCGAGGTCGGCCCGGGGATGCCTGGGAGCGAGCTCCGAGGGGGAACGGGTCATGACGGTCTTCATGATGGGCTCGTTTTCCACCACCACCACTACCATAAGTTGGAGGGGGGGGTCTTCTTCCTCCTGCCCTCCTCCTCCTCGTCCTCCATAAGTTGGAGGGGGAGGGGGTCCTCTTCCTCCTGCCCTCCTCCTCGTCCTCCACCTCCCTCCCCCCTCCAACTTACGGCGGTGGTGGTGGGAAGCAGGCTCATCACTTCACCGTCCTCGCGCTCGCTGGGCTCTCTAAGGCCCCAGCGCCCAGGACCCGTTTCCTTCACGACCCCTCTCTCTCATGGCAGCGGAGGAGGGTGAGGGGGGAGATTCCCAGCCATCCTGTGCTGAGTTGGGTGCCTCTTCCTTCCTTCCACATATCCCTCCCCTGCCCTGCGCGCGCGCACATTTCGGCACACCCCTCATACGTTTCCTGGCCCCATGGCCCCACAGGAAGCTCCGCCGAAGCCCCCAGGGGGTGGTGTTCCATAGCGTCCCCCCGACCAGTTCGGCACACCCCTCACACGATTCGTGGCCCTCTAGGAAGCTCCGCCCAAGCCCCGAGGGGGTGGTGTTGCATAGCGTCCCCGCGGCCATTTCGGCACACAACTCTCTCTTCTGTTTTTTTTCTCTCTCTCTCTCTCTCTCTCTCTTTCTCTTTCCCTCTCACACACACACACCTTACACGTTTCGTGACCCAAGGGGAGCTTCACCGACTCCCCCAGCGGTGGTATTGCCTAGCGTACCCCCGCCCATTACACGTTACGTGGCCCCATGGGGAGCTCCACCGAATCCCCCAGGGGGTAATGTGACATAGCGCTCCAGCCGACTAATTCGGCACACCTTTCAAACGTTTCGTGGCCCCACAGGGGGCTCCACCGAAGCCCGTACAGGGTAGTGTTGTATGGCCTTCCAGCCGACTATTTCGGCACACCTTTCAAGCGTTGCGAGGCCCCACAGGGAGCTCCACCGAAGCCCCCATGTGCTTCTGCATAGCTGCATAACGTTCCCCCGGCCATTCTGGCACACCACCTTCGCGCGTTTCGTGGCCGCAGAGGGAGCTCCACCGAATTCCCGTATGGCACAGTTCGAATGCGGTCCACACCCTCCATTCCGGCACACCCCTGGCACGTTTCGTGACCCCCATAAGGGGGCTCCACTGAAGGCCCCAGTGGCGCAGAACGCACGCAGTCCCCCCCTCCCGTTTCGGTACACTCCTCGCACGCTTCTTGGCCGCAAAGGGAGCTTCACCGAAGGCTCTGGTGGCACCGTTTACAGGCAGTTCCCCCCCCATTTCGGCCACATCCTTCACACGTCTTGTGGCCCCACGGGGAGCCCCACGGAATGCCCCAGTGTGGGGCAATTGACATGCGCCCCCCCGCCCAGATCGGCAACCGGCCAGGTCCCAGCACGGAGAGGCAGTTGTGTGAAGAGATCCGGCGAGTCCTCTGGCGCTGCAACGGTGGCCGGCACGACATGGCAAGCAGACTCAAGGCAGAGAGACATGGGAACATGATAGACCGCCCCTTGCCAAATCGGCACGCCCCTCACGCGTTTTGTGGCCCCATAGGGAGTTCCACCGGAGACGATCACAACTGCAGCACTCACAATGCAGATGGTTGGTCTTTCACCGGGATAATTGTTTTTTGTTCGGGAGTGTGGGGGGCCAGGGGCGCCCACTGCTTCCACCATGGGGTCCTGAAGAAGAGTTGTCCTCCGCCGAAGAAAGCGGACGGGGGGGACGCGGCGGGCAATCCAATCTACGCGCCGGAAAACACCCGTCCCCTCAGCATCACCAACACTGACAACCGTTTGTTGGCAGGCGCGGTCCGGGTGAAATTAGAGCCCCTCATTGCCCCCGAAATCTCCGACATGCAGCGCGGCTTCGTGGGGGGGCGCAGCATGCTGTCAAACTTGGTGGACATGGATGAGGGAATGCAGGCTGCAGCTCTGTCCGAGGAGCGAGCAGCAGCAGTCCTCTTCGACTTCGCAGCGGCCTTCCCCAGCGTCAGCAGGGAGTTCATGCACGAGTTGTTCGCTTCATTAGGCTGGCCAGAGTGGCTCTTGCAGTTCGTCCGCGCGCTGTACTACGACACGACCTGTTTGATTTCCGTCGGCGGGGCTCGATTTGCTGGCTTCCGGATGGCCGGCAAGGATGCCCTTTGTCGCCGCTATTGTTCGCCGTGGCCGACGACATTTTGCTTCGGCGCATCGCTCGGGCGTTGCCGCGCGCATTGGTGCGAGCATATGCCGATGACCTCGCCGTTGTCCTCCCCACCGGCGTGTGCGCGGCGGAGACGTTGGAGCCGATGTTCGAGGAGTACGCGCGCGTGTCTGGCTTGAAACTACACCACGGGATCGCATTGGGTTCCGCTGTATCCAGTTGGGGTGGAAGCGGAACGTGCTCGGTTGGGGGCGGTCGCGGCTTCATGGGCTGCTTTCAATATTTCATTCTCGGCAGGGTATCTCGGATTTGTCATCGGGCCGGAGCGGAAGTCCCTGTCATGGGCCAAAGCGTTGCGCAAGTACGATGAACGGGCGCTCATCTGGAGATCCATCGGCGGCGGCTTGGCCTTATCTCTCGCGGCCCACAGCACGTACATACTCCCTGTGGTGTTTTTCCTGGCGCAGTTGGACGCGGTTCCAGACGCGTGGGAGGATCATGAACGCAGAGCTCTGGCTCGACTGCTGCCTGGCCCTCGTGGGTGGCTACACCCAGACGCTTTACGTGGCCTCGGACAGCTACATTGCACAGGCTGCGTGCGCGACTTTAAGGACTTCCGGGCGTGGGCCGACGCCGCCAAGAGCAGGGTGGTCAATTGGGAGGCGTTGCCCGCGGGAGGGCTACGCGTTGCCGCGCGAGCACAGGCGCTCCGTCGTTTACAAGCAGCTTGCGCCCCCCCCAGACATGCGAGCCGCTCTGTGGAGCGACTGGTTCGGTTCAGTTTTTTGTTTCTCTTGGAGCAGGCGGAAAACCGAGTACAGCGCGCAGCGGACAGTCGTGGAGCGGGGATCGTGAGCTTGCCCAGGGACCCAGCCCGCTCCGACGTGACCAGGCGGCAGTGGCAGCGCACGTTCTATAAAGTGTTCCTCCCAGATCACACGGAGGCTGAGTTCCGTCACCTCTGGCGTCGTCTTGACCAATGGGAATTGCCTGTGCTCCCTGGCCACCGCGTACATCGTGCCGTGGACGTGCTCAAGGACCTATCCAACAGCACGACGCCGCGCATTTTCGCTGCGACGCTGCGTGCGCTGTGCCGGGGCTGGGCTACAACGCGGCGGTCGGCCATTTGCCGCCTCCACTGCGGCCGGGGCGAGGACAGCGTCGAGCACTACGCACATTGTCCAGTGTTCCGCAAGTTTGCGTGCCAGCGGCTGTGGTTTCCGGATGTTGGGCCGTCTGATCGGCTCGTCGTGCTGTTGGGGCTCGGCGGGGCTGGGTCGCGCGACGGCCATGTCTGGGCAATCGCTCTGTACGCGCTGTACACCTCGCAGTGCATGTTGCGGCACGGGCATCCCGCACACGGCCAATTGGACGACTTACTACTGCAGCGTGCGCACGAAGGAGTTCGCGGGCACGCCCGGGCAACGCAGGCACTTGCCAGCGCCCTGGCTGGCCGCCCGTAGACGACGCAGGAACGTCTCCCGCCACGACCAGCCCGCCGACCCGCACCGTCCAGCTCATCCGCTCCAGCGCCGTCCTGTTCGCCGGCTTCGCGGCCGACGACGGGACAGGTGAAGGACCATCATCGATGACTCTCGCGCCAACCAGCTCACCGACTCCCGTGCCGACCAGCTCCTACTCGGCGCAAATTACACCAATAACGAACCCACAGCTGACTTACAGCAACCGACCACTTCGCCGTGTCCCAGACAGCCCAGTTCGCCGACTCCTGCGCTGACCAACCCACCGGCCCCCACACCGACAGGCTCGCCGTTTCCCGCGCCGACCACCTCACCGACAATATTTTGGGTGCGCCGGCCTATCCTAGACATTATCGCCATATTGGGTGTACCGGCCTATCCTCGTTTTTCCCAACCATCCTGTGGTGTTGGGTCCTCGTTTTGAAGAGACAGCGCCCCGCGTCCCACCTCCTCTCCTCCTCTCTCCTCTCCTCCGCCGTCCGCATGCGTCCCGCACACCCATTTCGGCACACCCCTCACACGCTTCGTGGCCCCATAGGGAGCTCCACCGAAGGCCCCAGTGCTGCCGTCCGCATGCGTCCCGCACACCCATTTCGGCACACCCCTCACACGTTTCGTGGCCCCACAGGGAGCTCCACCGAAGGCCCCAGTGCTGCCGTCCGCATGCGTCCCGCACACCCATTTCGGCACACCCCTCACACGTTTCGTGGCCCCATAGGGAGCTCCACCGAAGGCCCCATGGCTGCCGTCCGCATGCGTCCCGCACACCCATTTCGGCACACCCCTCACACGTTTCGTGGCCCCACAGGGAGCTCCACCGAAGGCCCCAGTGCTGCCGTCCGCATGCGTCCCGCACACCCATTTCGGCACACCCCTCACACGTTTCGTGGCCCCATAGGGAGCTCCACCGAAGGCCCCAGTGCTGCCGTCCGCATGCGTCCCGCACACCCATTTCGGCACACCCCTCACACGTTTCGTGGCCCCACAGGGAGCTCCACCGAAGGCCCCAGTGCTGCCGTCCGCATGCGTCCCGCACACCCATTTCGGCACACCCCTCACACGTTTCGTGGCCCCATAGGGAGCTCCACCGAAGGCCCCATGGCTGCCGTCCGCATGCGT